ACTCTATATTTCTATCAAATGAGAGAGTATGAAAAACATTTAAACATCGTACTGATTTCAAACCATTGAACAGTAGTGTAATAATTAAAAAAAGGACTTTGCAAGAAACATTGGATGTAATAAGTAGAATGTTCAAAATAGAATGAGAAGAATTTAGAGGTACAAAATATTTTTGTGAGTAGATGCAAACATGTGATGATGTCTTGGTTTATATTGGGCATCACAGGATGTCCTGTACCAACACTTGTATAAGACCCTGGACAAGCCAAGAAAATCATCCTACTCTTCATGGAATGTCAGGAAAACTGCCAAGCAGAAACAAAGGATTAAGACTCTGCACCCAAACATCGTCTTCACCATCCCACCTTCTATTACTGTATTTCATTAGGTTTCTCTAGAAGGCTTTCATTCATCTGCTTGTGCAGAACTAAAAGATGACCTTTAACTCCTTGGCTTGTCAATGTGTTGTGGGCTCGTGTGTTGCTCTTTCTGGCTTAAGTCTTACATATTTCCTAATATCTTACAAGGATAAACATCTAGCACTGGATTTTAACCTAAGACATTTTTACATCATGATTTATTTAGCACATAATTAAGACAAGCAACATACAGCAATTCTTGATCGATTTAAGTTGGTTTTATGTTGTTTGTGGAGACAATTCAAATCATTGCTCTCTCAAATGAGCACAACAAAACAAGAATCTCTTCTCATGTTGGCACCAGATGATTTCTCTGTTTTGTGACAAGCACAGTGACACATCTGCCGCCAGCTTGACGCTGTCTAACCAGTCATAAATAAGACAGAAAATACATCTGTTTTGCTGTGTACGGACTGTGCATGTGTAATGAAACAAAGGGTTTTAAATGAGTCCACTGTTTTAATTGTGTCCTGATGGTGTGGCTGTTTTTCTGTGTCATAGTTGTCTGAGATAAATGACAGAGTGTCTGAGCTGGAAGAGGCTTGTGTGGACGATAACAGAGCAAGAAACCTGAATGGAGAAGATCCATCTCCTGAGGAGCTCATTGAGAAGATTGAACAGGTAAAATATTTGTTAATAATTTGGGGTTTAATAACTTGATGGAGAGTTTATTTTCCTTTTCCTAACCACAATTACAAATTTCAATGGAATTACCAGAACTTTAGGAATTAATCACTTTTTATTATTAATTTAAAGATTATTATTTATTTTTTTTTGCAGGACTTGGTTTACAAGTTTTAAATTATTTAATCACATCAAATCATTTTTGGTGTTGTAAAATACATACAAATAATGGAATGTTACAATTATTTACTAATTATCATTTTCAATCATATTTTCTGTCCCTAAACTGGTTTGTGTTACAGTATACAAATATATTGTAAGTCACACTTTACAATAAGGTTTCATTATAATTATAAGTTAATGTATTTACTAACATGAACTAATTATGAGCAATACTTGAACAGCATTAATTAATAATAGTTTAACATTTACTAATGTATTATTAACATTTTAATTCAGGCTGTTAACATTAGTTAATGCTCTGTGAGTTAACATGAACTAACAACGAATAACTGTATTTTTATTAACTAACATGTAGAAATACTGTAATAAATGTATTGTTCATTGTTTGATCATATTAGTAAATACAACCTTATGTTAAAGTGTTGCCCACATATAATATGTACCCATTTAGACATTTTATTATATAATATTTATTAGAGGCAATCTTAATTTTTAAAAAGTAACCTCAATGTTATCCAACATAATTAAGAACATAACATATTTTTATCACATTACATTCGGTATTGGGAACATTATAATATAAATATTTTTATTTCTTTTTTGATATAGCTTGTGTTATACATCATATGTTCTTGTTTACACATTTTATTGAATAAAATACAACACTGACCACATTTTAATTTCATTTAATTTATATAGGCAATCTATTCATTAAATAATTCAGAATGAGGGTGATAATAAACTAATATTTTACATAAAATACTTACTTGCTTAGAAAAGTAATGGACTAATACAGATTAAAATCAAATGGAAAAGCTAGTTTCACTTACTGGTGTCTATGTGTGTGTGTTTAGTTGGAGATACACCTGGCAGATAAAGAGGCTCAGCTCTTGGAAATGGAGCTTGTGTGTGAGCAGGTTGGACGCCTTTCCAAGCGCATCCAAATCAAAGCTGACAACAGTAATGAAGACACACTCCATCTGGCCAAGAAAGTGAGTTCACATACACATTTGCTTTGAAAACAGCACTGTTGTTTAAAATCAGCCCTTGCCAAGGTTTCCTTTAGAATTTACATAAATATAAAGTACACAAATGATGTCTCAAGACCCTGCAGACCTCAAGAACTCCAAAAAACACATTAATAAACCACAGAAAGCATATTTGTTCCAATCCAATTTTCAGCTTTACTAAACTCCAAACTGATGTGGCGTGTTAATGTAAACACAGAGGGTCAAGAAAAGCCAGCATTTGAAGCATAATCATTTAGGACGTGTTTTTCTTTTAGGTGAATGAACTGCAGGCTCAGATCAGAAAGCGCAGCCGTAAAATGATGGCGGTGGTAGCAGAGCTGTCCATGCGGAAAGCCGAGTGTATGGGCCTGCAGCAGGAGATGAAGGAAAAGGAACTGCAGCTGGACTTGTGTCAAAAGCATGTGGAGCAAGGTTTGCCCCCGTCAGATAGCATTGAGAACGAGTGGCTGCGTCATCTTCAAGATCAACATAGACGCCTGGCAGATGCTGAGCGAAAAGCCATGGTAAGACTGAATGCCATCAAATAGACACTAAAAAACTAAAAAATCATGTTGTGCTTATTTATCATTACCTCTACTGAACATAATGAACATATATTGTATTGATCTAATATAATATGGTGTTTGTAAACACTTTTTCAGGAACACAATGTTCCTCTGTTTAATCCTTACTGCCATAATTTACTCATCTTCTGAGTTTTTCTTCTGTTGAACACAAAGGAAGATACAGGTAATCAGTGTAGGGAAAAATTACTTTTGAAAGTAATGCATTACAAAACTAAGTTACTCCCCCAAAAAGTAACTAGTAGTGTTACAGTTACATTTTATGGTATATAATGCGTTACGTTACTTTTGAGTTACTTTTGTGTTACTTTTTATTACCTGGCCGAGGCATGATCTCTTTCAGAACTCTTTCAGAAGGAGCTCTGCAATTAACGATGCACTGTATACCCTACACCTATATTTACCTTTAAAAAAACACACGCTAATTAATTAAACTAAAAAGTAACTCGAATTACATTTTCAAAAAAGTGACTCAAATATTTTTTGCTTACTTTTCTCACATTTTTTTAGAATATCTGTTTTGTGTTCAACAGAAGAAAGAAATTCATAAAAGTTTAGAACCATTTAGTGAGTAAATGAGGAAAACGTTCACTTTTAACTTTATCTAGTTAACTTTTTTACTTTATCATTTATATCCACACACATAATTAAATATTTATTTAAACTGTTTTTTATATATTGAGAAACCATTTATACAAAGATTAAAAATTATTTCAAATATTGATATACATCTTTAGTAATAATAACAATGTAATGATTTTAAAAAAGAGCTGAGAAATAAGGAAGGGGAAATAACGAAAGTGTGCAATAAGCACACAATAAATAAATCACCAAAATAAAATATATATTTAAATTTTTTTTTTTTTTTTAAAGTCGAAAAATTTCAACTTCTCTGTTGTAACTGGTTCATCCCACTATTACAAGGGGAATATGGTCAAAACAAATCTGTCCAAAGAATTAAACTTTCAGATTATAGATAATTGTATTAAAATATTTAGGTAAATATATAAGATCAGTTTATTTTTTGATACCGTTATCGTTATTAACAAATCATTAACTATGACTTTAGCCTCAATAAAATCCTAATTATTACTTATTAAGGTAGTATTTGGGTTTAGGTATTGGGTAGGTTTAGAAATATAGAATAAGATCATGCAGAATATGTACTTATACATGTACTAAGCACTATATAATAAGCCACTAGTTAATAGTGAGAATTGTTACCTAAACTAAAGACTTAAGAAATTTATGCCACGATTATTATTAACATCATGTTACATTATACTGACACTCTACTATACTATTTCTGTGATTGTTTGTTAGCTGGCAGAGGAAGACGAGTGGAACCAGCTTCCAAATGGTGTTTACACCACGGCTGAACTTCGACCCAATGCTTACATCCCCATTGACGATCCTTTGCCAGTGCCCAAACACTATGGAGCCCTGGCCCCCTTTAAACCCACTGAACCCGGTGCCAACATTCGCCACATTCGCAAACCAAAAATCAAGCCTATTGAGATCTAGAGTTAGTCTCACCTGAAAACTGGTGATGCATACAGATATAGAAACAAATGTCCTGATGTGCTCCCAGTTTTAAAGAATCTGGTCTATTTCCCTCAGATCTAGTGATGTTATTGTAAAACTTGACTGTCATATGGGTCTTATTTCTGTACTTAGCAGCCAAGTGAAGCTCCTGGTGGTGGCATGATGGGAATTCAGAGAGATTCTTTAGAGATCTGCCAGAGCTGAAGGTTGGGAGAGGAGTTAGACATGATGCTATGCCCTGTGGAGCCATGCACAGCTGAAATCATTTAAGCAGAAATCATTTACAGCATTTTAGAATTGCATTTAGAGTAGTATTGTCTCTAATAGGGGTCAAGGAGATTGCTTCATCTAATACTTGCATATTCTTTATAATCTTTGTCAGTTATTTTGAGAGTTTTATACTTTGGCATTTCACCAACCCTTGACATATGAGTAGCTAAAGCTTAATAATGGATTTCATTAGTAGTTTCGTTTTCATACAGCTCAAAGGGCTTTACAGAAAAGTAACCAATAACCTTATAAACACAGCTGCAAAATGAATATCATGCCTTACAGGCTTAACAGCATAATTGCAAACATACAGAAGGAGTAAACTAAAATAACTGTTCAGGAAATTGCTATCAACAAGAAGCATACAAAAGAATATATGATCTTTTATTTTGTATTCAAGAAATATTTACAAATGTACCCAACTGACCCCTTACAACATCTGGAGAGAAAAAAAAATCCCTTTTTGTTGGTGCTCTTCCATCGCATCTGGGTGTACAGAAAAGTGCGTAATTTTCCCCATACGTATTGGCATGACTAGAGTCAGTACGTGTCCATATGGGTACTAAAATGTGATTTTTAAAGACTAGACAGATAGCAAAGGTATTATTTTTGGTCAACAGCATGATTTTGGGCTTCAGTTTTTAGTATGACACCCATACATTTCTGTACATTATTAAAGTCACCTAAACGAACCTAAGCTTTGTTCTTAGGTGAGTGCGTTTCCTCTATAATTTTTCCTCAAAGTTTCCCTTTAAACTACTTTTTTAGTTTGTACTGGGCTGTTTTTACTTGACCTCAAAGCCCAGTTTGATCAGTGTCTGCTTTAGGGCTGTTTCTTCCACAAATCTGACATCTACATTCTCCTGCTCTTCGAAAGGGTTCTGAGCTGAAATAAAACACCAACAATATCATTACCTTACTTTAATGGACAACATTTAATATCACAGAACATAGTTTATGAATGACTTCATCTCTCATACCACATACCTTGTTCCTCCCTATTGGAGAGAACCTTGGCGAGGTAGTTCAGAGGTAGAAAATCAGGATAGAAACTTGACTTGCTGTAGTCCAAAAGTGCAGAGTCCTAAAAAAAAGATCACGTGTTTGGCTGGTAAACATTTGAGCATTTCCTCTGGTTTAAGAGCCAAGACCATAATTCAAATTCCTAAGAATCAAAACACTTGATTTTCTCTAGAAAGAAGATGCACGTCTCACTGTCTAGTCATCTAGTTTCATCCCATTATTAATTACAGTTGTTTGGCAGATAATTTAAAGTTTCTCTTTAAAAAAAAGCAACTCAATCTTATGGCACTTCATAAATTTTTCTTTTAATGGCTAATTCATATGAATTTGTATGACCTCATCTGTACATTTTCATGCGATCTGCTCCTCCCCAATGAGGGGTAAGTTCATGTTTTCATATTAATCTGTACAAATTATCCACTTTTCTGACAATACGTAAAATAGTTACGTGTACACCCCCTGCCATATTCACCTTGCTCTCTGAGTGTTTGTCCAGCAATGACCCGATGTATTCTCTGGAGATGCTTGCAGAGGTTATGGGATGATCCCACCGTTGGCTCACTTTCTTATCTATATGCTATTTAAAAAAGGAAAAAATAACTTTGTGAATGTATTGGCAATAATAACAACCCATTTTACAATAATAATGCGATATTCATGATTCAAATTAAAGGGATTAACCAACATGGTAAATTCTGTTATACTGTTCATATAAATTCTGTTCATACTGGAACTTATGAGTTTCTTTTTTCTGTTTAAAGGTCCCATGAAATTAAAAATAAGTTTTTTAGATTTTAGTATCACAGGGTCTCTGCAGGTTTCACCAAGTTAAATTTAAGACTTTTTAAGACCTTTTTAAGACCATTATGAATAAAATTTTAGACTTTAGATTTTTTCGAATATCCCAGCTGGAAAAGATTTTTACTTGCCCAATCAAAAAAATATTATGATTTAACAAATTTATTAATACAATAATAATAATTTAATAATAAAATGCATAGGTCAGGTAAGTATCCTCTGCAGTAAATAAATGGAGAACTTTTAAACAAATGCTGCTGTAAGGAAAGTAATTAAAGAGTTACTTAGGTCACAAAAGCAGTTTTGTGACCTAATCTAAAGTAAGTACCATTTCTGCTCTATAAATCCCTTATAAATGATAATTAAAGGCTCAGATATATTCTAAACAGAAAAAAAATGGAAAAAAAATTACTTTATTATTTTCTATTCATTTGAAAATATACAAACGAAACTGTATCAAATGAAAAATAAATCTTTGCAATCTTATTTAAAATAATATTATTGTAAAGTTTAAACTTTGCTAAATAACTTTAACATTTGTATCATAATATATTGTTAAATTAATGTATTCTTGTTGTCCAATTTATTGTATTTATTTGTAATTTTATTTTAAAGTTTTAAAGTTTACAGTGATTTTTTTTTAGATAACATTGCAAACTTTTAGGCTGCATTTACACTGTTCAAGTGACTCAATTCAGATTTTTTTTCCACCCATGTGGCACAGATATATTTTTACGGATATAGCCCATGTATGTGTAAGCAGGAAAAAATCACATGGATTCTGCTGTACTCAAATCAGATTAAGGTCTTGTTCATAAATGGAAATATATCCGATATGAATCAGATCTGTGCCCTTGTGTCTGCAGTGTATGCAGGTAGATCGTATTTTCACCTGTCAATGCCAGTTGTTCATCATTAAAAACCATAGCGAATGATGTCATTCACTTTCTGACGCTTTCATTTCAGAACAGACTTCAGTAGAGTCGCAAACCTTAAATCTTATACACAAGGACTAAAAAAGCTCAAAAAAGAGAGAGATCAACATCCACCACATTACATTAAGATGCCTACTGGTTTAAAAAGGCCTAGATTAAAAGAAGATAGCAAAATGGAAACTTTTCTGTCTTAAGCTATAGCAAAAAAACAAACAAACAAAAAAAATTGGATACGGTCATATAATAAGAATTGACCATCAATATCTGCAGTGTAAATACAGCCTCATTGTTCATTTGATACTGAGCCTTTAATTATCATTTATAAGGGATTTACAAAACATAATTAGTCCTCACTTTAGATTAGGTCACAAAACTGCATGAAGTTGAGTTAATAAAGCATTTATTAACATGCATAGTAACCATTACTGTATGCCTGAATAATAAAATACATAAATGTTGATTTAAATAGTTTATTCATTGTTTACAAACTCATTCTGAATTATTCTAAAAGCCACTAACTACTCCTAAATACAAATGGTTTGTAAATAATCCAATACTGAATTTAGTAATGAACAATTAATAAGTAATAAAATAAGAAAATACAATTATTAAGCACATTATAAATGTGGTTGTAAATTAAGAATACAGCATGTGTATCCGTACTTATAAAACGGCTTACTAATGTCTATTAATATAAAATGCTTAACAGATAATGAGTTAGCTATCTGCTAAAGTTAAATAGATGATTCATAGTGTGTAGTTATTATAAAGTGTTATCAAGATGGCTTTTAATTCATTTATTTAGCCTTTTATTACCTTTATTTTATGTCATTTGCACATATCCTCAGTCATTTGTCTTTAAAAGAAAACATTTCTTAGTGTTAGGTCTCGTTACCATAGTGAAGTGTAGAACATGTTTCGAGAATAGAACGCATTCCAAAAGTGTACTTAAAGCCTTGCATCATAGGAGAATCTCTTGTGGGTTTGTTGTAGTGGTGTAGAGCAGGTGTTTCTTTCGCAGTGACTAAATATCTAAGTCCTCTAGTTTTTCAAGTCTCAGCGATAGAACATCCCCTTGGAGTGATTCACGGTGCAAGACCGAAATCTTTATCCTATTGCTGCTTGCAAACCCCTAGTTTTCAAGTGTTTACAGGTGAAAGCCTGAAACCTTCAACCGATTTCTATCATGGTTGAGCATTTTACACTGGGTGTTGACCCTGCAACATCAGCTGCCAAAATGGAGAAGGACGGAGTTGGAGTGGAGGTTGAGATCTCTTTTTCCAAAGCCAGCAAGATCTCCAAGAGACAGAAAGAAATGCAGCAGCTCAAAAAACAGCCTCTTAACGGCAGTAATAGTGAGTCGTCATATTTACATTCTGATATTAATATCCAGTGTTTTCCTGACTAATATACTTACCATTAAAAAATAATGTTTGTACAGTATAACAGACAGCTGTTTTCATGAAGAGCTCTTAAAAAATTCCTGTAAAATCCATAGTAACTTGCAGCAGTTCACCAGTAACTTACTGAGAATCAATTAAAGCAAAAGTACTGTATTTACTGTATTTATCTTGTGGTATATGTATTTACAAAATTGTTTGTATATCTTCATATATATATGTGTGTGTGGAAAAGGTGAAAAGTGTGTAAAGATGTGCATTCATTTCTGTTTTAACAGGCGACGAGAAGGAGAAAGTGAAACAGAGGAAAAAGAAGAGCAAGTTTGCTTCTTTTATCAGAGCCGCTTTAAAGTGGTTTTGCTTTTCTCCCAGCAATGAGCCATTCAGATTTTCATCCTCTGAAGGTAAATGATGGTTTTGCCATCCACATGTTTTTTAGACTATAATTAGGGTTGGGTACCAAAACCCGGTGCCGAATCAGCACATACATTTTGTAAACGTACTCAGTGAACGTAAACGTAGTCACAAGCCCCAACCCTAGAAAAAAGGAGTTCCCTGATTTTCATGACAGCCTCTCCACAGGTTAGTAGAAAGCTAATGTTATGTTAATTGCATAATGCAAATCTTAAATTCATACTAACAAACAAGTGATCATAAAAAAAATAAATTAATGCAATTCGATTCAAATATATAAAACATGAATCGATGAGTAAACTTTAAACTTTAATTATATTTTTCAATAAAAATGATTAAAATGTATTTTTGGTCAAATAAAATATTTTTCTAAAGTCATCCACCATAATTTTGTGGCTCATACATATTGGTTCAGACACCGGTACCATTTTAAAAGTATCGATTTAGCACCGGGATCAAAATAACCCCAAACGATACCCAACACTAACTATAATGTTATGAATAGACTGTATTTTTACTCCCTCTTATCTGGAGTTTAACGTATCCTTAAAAATGACTGTGTACTATGTGCAAACTGTAATCGTTTTGTCTTTTAACAGATCATGAGATCTATGAGAAGGTGGTGGTGAAAAAGGAAGAAGGGAAGGAGATAATGCAGAAGGAGGAGGTGGTAAAAAAGGAGGGCGAGGTGATGACGGAGAAAGAGATTTCTAACACAAAGGAAGAGAAGACAAAGGAGGAGAAAAAGAAAAAGATAAGCAGCCAGCTGTCAGAAGAGAAGTTTTGGAGGAGGATAATGAAGGAGGAGGAGGAGGAGAAGATGAAAAGTGTGGTGGAGGAGGACAAGATGGAAGGAGAGAAGAAAAATGAGGAGGAAATAAAATACATTGAAAAGGACGAGGACATGGAAAAAGAGAACGTGAAGAATAGGAGGAGGGTGGAGGAGGAGATGATGAAAGTAAATGAAAGTGAGAAAGAGAAAATAAATGACACTGATAAAAAGGAGGAGGAGGAGGTGAAGAAGAAGAGGATGAGGAGAAGGAGGAACTGCAGGGTGGAAGAGGAGACGAAAGAAAAGGAAAGTGAGGAGGCGGAAAAGAACATGGAGGAGAAAGAGACAACAACTGACATTGTAAGGAAGAAGTGGGTGGAGAAGATTAGGATGATGAGGTGGACAAGGACAAGTTGCAGTTTGACAGAGGAGAACATGACAAAGCACAGAATACAGAAGAAGCAGCATATGTGGCCCAACACCAGACCTGCCTCCAAGGCCCAAGCTGCAATGCGGGGGAAAAACCGTCATATTTTATTATGGGGGGCAAGGAAAGTTTAAAATTCAATAAAATTGTGCTGAACAAAAAAGAAAAACAGTGTGTTGTGTCTATCTGCTTAACTGTTTGCTTCAAAAGTGTTGAATGGGTTCAAAAGTGTGCTTGCAGGTTTTTAACATTCTTCCAAATATATTTTTTCTGTTCAACCCAAAGAAAGAAAGTCAAACAGGTTTAGCACAGCTAAAGGCTGAGTAAATGATGACAGAATTATTTTTTGGTTGAACTATTCCTTTAAATGTTTAACTAGGTTAAAGATGCAGTAGGTGATCTGCCTAAATGCTAAACGGTAAGGAATAATATCTTTGAAACACTGTCCCTTCCCTGTCGTCCAAACCCACGCCTCCTGAAATCACGAACGCGACCCACTAGATCATGTCATTAGCCAGTTAGAAAACGTTATAGTAGTTTATAATACTACAATTCAGAATGAAAACCGTATTATATCTAGCAAGAATAATTCGAAAATTCTTTTCGGCTTAGTCCCATTACATCTGGCATTATATTTAGTATTATACTTATTACTCTCTCATTAGTCTCACTCATCAGTCTCACTCTTTCACGAGCTTTGCACTAAAGCGAATATTGTATGCTTAGTGATTGGCCGGTGGCGTGCAGGAATTACACTTATTATAAGCTTTACTTACATGCTATTTCAGACCAAAAGTTTAAAGTAGCATGGTAAACAATGTAGGGAGCGCGTCACAGGTAGTCATTGTTCAAAAATGAACCAATGTGAATATAAAACCAACTTCAGTCCAGTAAAGCAGGCTTGGCGGAATAGCTCTATTTACTGATGTTTTGTTGTTAAAGTAAATAAAAATGTACATTATCAATGCTATATAAGGTCCCTTATTAAGCTGAAAATTGTCACAACAATTTATCGCTGAAAGATTTCAGTGGCTGAACAACACTTCTGTTCATATAACTCATTCTTAATAACAAAATCCACACCAGCACAACAAAACATGTTCCTGAAGACAATCATCTACTGCACTTTTAAGGGGGATAATTAGGCAAGCCATTGGACAACAGTGGTTTGTTCAGTAGACTGGAAAACACAATTGTATTGTTAGTTTTTAAAATATCTATAAGCTTGTGTGAACCATAACAGTGACAAAATTTACGTTTAGAAGATATAAAACTGATAGAAACATGTAAAGCGTGTAGTTGGTCACTTCCGCCTAAATGGGTCAACAGTTTTAATCACGTCAACCTATACCACAGTTTCTTATCAAATTATAACCAAATCAAGTGCTCTCTAGTATCTGACATGCTCTGTCCCCTTTGAGTCGCTTTTCCATTTGATGCGCTTGATCTCAACCAACCTCACTGGCAGAGGGGTGATAAAACAAAACTGTCTGTAAAACTGTTGGTAGTTTTTTAAAAAGGGGAGAAGCTACACAATGTGCCACTGTATTTTCATGTTGAGATTACATCAAACATTAAATAAAAAATGCATATTTTAGAGCACTTCACAGGAACTGTAAACACAAAAAAGGATATTTTGAAAAACCTTGGGAAATGGTAGCCAATGACATCCATAGTAGGAAAAAGAATACTGTGGAAGCCAATGTTTTTATTTATTTATTTTTTTTTTTAACCAAATTTTGTAATCAACAGAAGAAATAAACAAGTAAATGATGGCAGAATCTCAATTTTTGGATAAACTGTCCCTTTAAAGGTTTTTTGGGGTCAAAATATTGGGATAATGGGAAAAGACTGGATTTAAAGTTTGCACTGCTTGCATAAACTTCTAAAGATTTTTATCTTTAGACGTATTATTTGACATTGCTGCCACATTTATCACATGCATTTATTTTCTGCCATTACTGTAGCTCTGTTCCAATTTAGAGACTGGAACTTTCAAAATCATAAAGCCATTTCTACAAGGTACAGTAAATGTGGCTTTGAAGGTTACAAGAAATATATCACAAGATAAGGTCCTTGTAGATTCCAAGATTAGATCTTAAAGACAGTATTTTTTGTGTATATTTTGTCAGTAATGCATTAAAAATAAATATACGAATGTACACAAAAATGTACTGCTTTTTTGTCATCGATAGCTTTGAAGAATGCTTCTTCTGAATTGGAATACAGCTTATTACTATTTAGCTTGTTGTTAACCTTTTTAGTCCTAGATCAAGTTTGATGAATGTTCCTGCAACAGATTCTTTGAAAGAAGAGTCTTTGGAATAAGATGCACTGATGATTCACTCCCAATAATAACACTAAGAACTGACTATTTCCCCCCCTTTTTCTTTCCAAAAACCACTGGAAGAGGTGGGGAATTGGAACAGAAAACTGCAGAAACAAACCACAACTGATCACCACAAGGGAAACAGGCTTGTTTTGTTTTTCTATTGCACCTGCTACACTTTCTCACTTGGCTGCTTTAAGACTAGAAAATAAAGACTAAAGCCTAAGCACATGTCATGTCATGACTCAGAAACACGCTTACATTATTTTACTTCTACACAGGAAAATTACTGACATCTCTGAAACAGCTCCAGCTCTTACTGAGAAGTGAGGAAAAAGCGAGGCCGGGCTTCATAAGACAAAGATCTCAAGAGAAGACCAAAGTAGGAAAGTTACCTCAGGAAGTCTTTTCAGGATACTGAACTTCAGCTGCTCATTGGCATCACTGTTATCTAAATCTGGCATGAGGTAGATAAACAGAAAGAGTAAGAGAACATCAAATGCATTTTTTCATATTTTGCAGTTTTATCTAAATGCACAGTTTGATTAAAATGTAACAGATTTCTCCAGGTTATGGGTAAGTTTTATCTTTTGGTGTCCAAGGAGTTCCAAGCTAGCAGGTAATGTTAAACTAATGTTGCTATCTATTCTATATGTTAAATAGACAGCTTTAGGAACAGTATATTACACTATGCGTTTTTAAATCCGTACCTGTCATGAGGCGTGAAACAAATGGTTCTGTAAGTTGAAGAAGGCCATGATCCACATACTGGAGAAAAGTGTGCTGTGGGAGACAACGGACTCCAAGAACACTTAACAGTGTTGAATAACCTAGGCACAAATGCATACATTATAATACACTTAATATGACCAGTTAGCAGAGTAGTGTTTCTACTGTTAATCATCTCCCAGATAGGGCTGAGTCCTTGCAGAAGCATTTGTGTCAAAGAGCAGATCCACCCAAACAGATCTGGCATGCTTTAGATTTCTGAAATGGTCTCAATGGGTCATGGAATCAGACACACCCAAGATCTAAACTATATGGGATTTATTTGGATTTTGCAGAGATGCTTGATGAATCATCAGACAGTTACAATGTCTTTGGTAATCAATGGGTGAACTAAAAAAAATATTTTTGGCATTATTAAGGAACTACAAAATGTATATATACATTTATATATTAAGAAAATAAACTCTGTAAAACCTAGTAAGTTACATTTTGTTGCACAAGAGACTAATTTATGCCAAAAATCAAATGCAGAATCATGAATTTGGCAGAGAAAGCACAGCACCATAATTCCTCATAAGTCTGCAATTCTGACTTTATATCCCCCCCCCCCCAATTTCACAGACCATCAAATGAATCAATGAATAGGTTTGATAGTTTTTACCTGATCTCAGATCAGTGTTATGAGTTTGTACATTAAGACATTTGTAAACTTACATGAATGCAAAATTAATCATATTTAATAATAGTTACGAATATTTTTGCCTGTTAAGCAAAGCCTACAATAAAACACAATATATAGGCCAAGGAATTGTATAAAAGAATGCAAATTATGCATATACTTAATGCGTTCTGATATGAAATGATACGATAAGTGCATTTAAAGTTATACTTTCAATTTAAAATTTTGTTTGCGTTTACTTAGTTTTGACCAACAGGTGAACCTTGCATTTGCTGTTTTAAATGCTTTAAAAAAGTTAATCTTTTTGTGAAGCAATTGGTTCAATTGTTTTGAAAAGCTTGATTTCTCCCATCTCTATTCTTCGAGACAACATTATAGATATTTTTTGCTAAATCTCTAGTACTTGGTTATTCTAATTATGCAGGTAAATGACCTTGTTTGTATATTTATTTTGAATCATAAAACCAGGCGACCATTAACTTGCATTATACTAAACAAAAGGACCACTGATTTAGCTAATAAGTGACCTGAACTTTCAATGACCTGAGGGTCATGAGTAAATTAACTGTCAATTTTCATTTTTGGAGAACGATCACTTTAAGGATTAATTAATCAATTAATCAATCAATCAATCAATCAATCAATTTAAACCCACCAAGTCTTGCGGCCTTCAAAAATTGTGGATAATGGGGTTAAAAAAGTGAACTGCTGGTGTATTGCTTTTTAACATCAAACTACTGGAATCAATAGCTAATTTCTTCATGTGGGGAGGGATGTTTTGTTGAGTTCCTTCCTACGTAGAGCATTCCAAATAAGTCACTTGTGAGGTTTAGAGTTTTTTTCTTTAGCTGAAAGACCAAATGGCAGCTCACAAGGCTTTTCTAAACGTTGTCAGACTTTCTCTTACCTGGAGGAAGAGGAAGACAGAGCCCTTTAGTGGCTTCCAGTATGCGAAACATCACATGAAACATGGCCCATTCCTCCGAGTTACCCTGCTGCTTACTATAACAGAGACAATAATTGAAGGCTTTATATTCAAGTCTTCACTTTCTTAAAAAGAAGTAAAACAAGGTGCACATACATGCAAAGCACCCAAGGGCCCAACTTCAGCTTCTGCCACACCAATTCCAACACGTGCCAGATGAGTTCAAGCTTAACAGAGAGTACAGTCATATATTACTCAAATGATATTACACAAACAGCAGATTCAGAACAACACCCATCTCCTATGAAACTGGTGAGAATCTCTGAGGATGTTTAGCGGAAAGAAACCCATGGTGTCCTCAAGTGACAGCTGTCAGAGAGTGTACTGGATAATCTGAGTCACTTTCCCTTCCTGTTTTCATGGAGAGCACAAACTCACGGACACCACCCCTGCTGACTTCAGTTTCACTTGAGCAACTCATTAACACACGCACTCATCCAAGGCAGATCACGCATGGTTTTTCACATCCTCATGCTTATCCTGGTCTAAAAACAGGAACCACTAAATGTCCATCTGCTTCCCCTCTTGACTCCTGAACGGGAGTTGATACAGTGTTAGTTGGGTGGAAACAGATATATGGTGCATATCTTGAACTTTTCTTCCTCCACTATACGTAATAGACAAGCAGAACATTTTGTGGGTTTGTTCTAATTTTTGCAGAAGCAGAAAGTTAACTTTGGCAAAAGGACAAGGGTTTATCAGCCACAACGAGGCAGAATGCAAAACGGCCTGTCACCATTTTAAAAACTCCACCATTTTCTATACAAAGCAGGTTGCATTTTGATTGGATACTTTTATCATTCATCATCACTTTTAAATTGATTCCTCTAACATTGTTTCTCTGTGCCATTCTTCTTATATTGCATTTGCTATTCCTTTACGAAACTGAATCATCATTTAAGGGATCAGTTTTACTCTTGATGTGAACAGGCCTTTATATTAGTGGGTAAAAGGTGGTTGGCTTTAGGTGTAGGATGGGTTTTGTGTCGTCCCGCATCTGGCAATTGTTATGTGCTGCAAGAGATCTCTTGTGAAATTATGTAAGAGAACAAACACATACCAGCTTTGCAGCATAATTCACCACCAGCAAATCAATCTTCTTCTTCCCCAGTCGTGATAAATGTCTGTTCAAGTGTTCTCTGAGCTTGTCAACCATCTGAAAAAGACAAATATTTAAACCTACAGTGTACTGATTGACACATGAAGATGCCTTAAAAATATGCAACGCTGGTCATTAATGTAAAAATAAATATTTTTTTACTAAACAAAAATACATTTTATGCCTATTTTTATTTTTCAAATTACTAATAAACTTAAAGAAAAAAGCAACTGACGTATTCTAACCCGTACTAATTAAAATATAAATCATTCTTACACTAAACGTCTTGATATAAAAAAAAATAATTCCCCATGTATAATAAAAAATAGTGACCCTAGAGACATAGATCTAACACAGCTAAAGGGATAGTTCACACAGAAATAATTTTTTTTATGTCATTAAAAACTCACCATTTACTTGTTTTCTATTTGAGTTTCTTTCTTCAGTAGAACAACGCTGGTTGCTGAGATCCACTGATTTCCATAATGTATATTTTTTCCTACTATGGAAGTTGATGGGTCCCCAAGCCACCATTTTTCATTTTTATTTAAAGAAGGAAACTTATAAATGTTTAAAACCACATGAGGAAGAAATAAATGATGAAGACATTTTCATTTTTGAGTGAACTGTCCCTTGATCAATGGTCTTGGTTGTCTGTTAAAAAGACTAAAATATACAGAATCACAATCTCGTGTTCCACAGTGCTGTACTACAATTTAAAATAATTTCATTTTAAAATGTACACAAAGTTATACAAAGTCCTCAAAAGATATAACCAAAAGGATGATTTCAGGAATGAACCACTTCACATTTAATCTGTTTTAGATTTGGAGTGGGTGGTCTGTATAACAATAATCAATCTTCAGGACTGCTGTTGTCACAAAAACAATTTAAAGGAGCATCTCTGTGGGCCTTCTGTTTCCGATTAGAGCTTTTATCCTCGCAGTCAGGGTTTGTATACTGGTTTAATATTGCTTGTGCTTGTCCCCCATTGACTCTTATTTCAACTGCTTTGATCTATAATAGGTCTGCTTATTTTGTACGGAGAGTTACGGCTGACCACTGCTGGACAACTGAAAGTCCAGTCACTCACCAGGCCCACCAGCACCCTCTGCTGTTGATCTTCCTCCTGAAAGAGTGGAACAACACGCCTGTCTGGAAAAACAGAAAGTAAGAAACTGACAGTTTAAGGTCTATTTTACAAAACTCTGTCATTATTTACTCATCCAATATAAATGCAAACCGGATTAACTGTCATATTTTAATATATTATCCATAGCTTCAAACTAGTAAACATTCACATTTTCAATTTCATTTTAATAAATGCATGCTTGGAAAAGAGCAGCACAAACATTCTGCAAAATATCTTCTTTTACGTTCTACAAAAGAAAGAATGCCAGGTTTGAAACAACAGGAGGGCATGAAGTAAAATTTCACAGATTTTAATTTTTTGGATAAAAAATCCTTAATAATCATACCATAATAATTTGTAATAAATCATGTTAGGAGCAGAAAATAAGCAAGCTTAGTGAAACGTCCAGCTCTTTTGACTCACGTGCGATAACAGATCTGTGTGTGTGACTGTGTGTGTTTTCTGAGTAAGGAGGAGGTACTGTAATCATTCTTATATAACACTACCGAATTCCTACTCCCATTTCCCTCGTATCTAATGAGGTGCTTGATTAACTACACATAAACCTAGAGACAGATTACATTCACAACAGAGAATGTGACCCTGAAGCTCCAGTCGCTGGGACTTTCCAAAAAAGCCTGAAATACTTCCAGGATTTGATCAGGGATAAAATATTCTCACAAGTGTCCTTTCGCTGACACGACTGACCATTTAAAGTAAGTTTAGCTCACCCAAACGCCAAGTGTCCACCATGGATAAAACTCTGCACATGAGAAACAAACAGAAAGGAGACATTTTAATTACATCAAGATGTTACAGTTGCTTTACTCCAAAGCTTCATCAAATATCAATCACAACCAGACACTTTATTATTAAAAAAAACTTTTTGTAGCACATTTTACATTCAACAGTAATTAGATCTACTGTTAAAAAAGCAAATATGCTGTTGTTTTAAAGATCTTTTAGCTCTTCATAAATGGTTAGTTTACTGTGAGAAATAACTAATGCTGTTTTGAAAGTGTAGCATGCTCCCCTGCACACACAGACACACACACAGCATTTGCCAAAATCCACCCACTTTTTGGTGTTCTCTTCAATGTAGTGATGACTGCGGGGGGATTTCTTCTTCTCCGAGTTCTGCAGGAATATCAACATATCAAGACATTTTAATACATAATTACAGCACAGTGCTAGATGATATATATGATAATGTATGTGTGTATTCTTGATGGAGATTAATTTTAAAGAGAAAACAAAAAAATTGTAATTACTGTAGTCTGGAATTGGTTTGGATTGTACACATCTCGAACAATATTGCAAGTATGTTATAATTCAATAATACAACATCTTTCCCAATACGGCCATAATCTTGTGCTGTGTTCACATTTTCTATAAATGATGGTGTTTCGCTTGTGGGTAATATTTCAATTTTTGAGCGTCACTGATGATTACATTTCATCATACAGTAAAGATGAATGCAGATTACTTGTGTTAAAAATCGCATCTGGATTTGATTTAAAAGTAAATCAGTAAAGAATGTCTCCCCATTTACTGAGAAATGCATGCTTCACTAGGGAGAATGTGTGTGTGTGCATGTGTGTGTGGTTCTGATCAGTTCCAATTATATTTCAGAAACTCCACAGAGCAGAATGAAACATTTGTACCAAACTAAACAAACATTATTGATCTTTAACTCAAATTCCTAGTGCTCACCATAGCAGCCTGAAGTTTAGTCCAGTCCTCTTTAATCAGACTGGTCCTGAAGCGTGGACATGGTACCGCCTCGAAATACCTCATCCTGTCCAAAACATGCTGAAGCTCTTCCCAGTAACCTTGCAGGCTTTTAGCCTTTGATCCACCAGAGCCAAAATTACCACCACAGAAATAGAATACAATTACAACATTATCACAAAAGGAGATTTGCAGTGAAGCACAAAAGTGAGTGTTCCTGAAGTACAAGTAAAGTGATTGATCTGGACTAAAGCCCTGGCAAATGTTTCAGAATGGTTTCACAATTTTAATAGCCATGTTTTTTTTAAAAACTTGGTTTCAGCTGACTTAAATCTATTTCACAGCTCAAACATTTCCTGTCGATGTGTTTTCTGCTAACACTTCTCCCAAACAGATTGAATTCATTAGATATTGATCTGACTGCACTACTATTGATCAGACACTCTATTGCCACCTAGTGTTTTGTATATTATTTTTCTGTCAGGCTACTTTGCATATAATGTGACAACAGAAAATAATCTTAGACAACAAATATTAAAAGTATATTTCACCCACAAATTAAATAAATCACAGTAGAAGCTAAATAACTGAACAAAAAATATCCTCTTAAATGACCCATGGGTGAGTCATTTAGCCTAAAAATTAAACCTTTTTGTTGATTTTTTTTTTTTTCAGATAACTTCACACTCAAAGAGTTTTTATAATCTGAAAATGTAAATTTAATGATTAAATGAATCTGTCATATCTGTTTAAAATACCCAGCCGGTCATGCAGAAAATATTTCATGATATATATGAATGCATATTGTATGTCTCACCTTCCCTTTGATTATTGGTTGACAGAGCAGTTCAGGGGTGCATTTCACACCAGAGATTGCCGTCAGAGCCACAGGAAGCTCCTAGAAAAAAATGGTGCATAAGACCTTCTTTCAACAAGTGAATGTCAACAAAAACATTTAAAATATATAGAATCTGTTTCATTAGAGGAAAATATTTGATCAAAGAGCTAAAGAAGTGCAGTACCTTCTTCTCAAATACACAGGAGTATGGCAACAGCTTATCTAAGCTCACACACTGCTGGTAGCTTATTCTGTACAAGGAGGCTGAAATGAGAGATAACGTGAGTATTTAGACATTTTTATTTTTTTTTAGTAAATATGGTTATCAACATTGGTAATAACAGAATTCCTCAACACTGACTTGGTTCAACGTGTATAGCATGGTTGATAACAATATGAAACAAAATAAGAAATTTTACAAATTGTATATACTGTATGTACACACAAACAGACACACATATACCAATATTTACATATATGCATACAGAAACTTGTAAGTATACAAGTCTAAAAGTGAAAAACTATATACACAATGTCAGTGAAGTACAACACTGCAAGAAGTGTCTAATAAAATTATTGTATTATGGATCAAACAGAAAACAGAGAAAATAAAAAATAGTTGGTTGTGAGAATTTAGATTTAATATTACACTACATTAGCATGGAATACACAAACACTCACCTAGAATAAATTCCTGAATCTGATCAAAAGCATCAAAGCTCATGACGTTCTCACTGATCCAGTTTATAATCTAAAAAGATGGAGAAATGAAAATACATTTCAGCACATTTGCTTATCACAGAACTAACCCCTCTCTCTCTTGCTTTTTCTCTCTTTTTTGCTCGAGTCTTTTTCTCACCTTGAGCTCTAGCACAGGATTTGGCTGCAGGTAAACCAGCATGCAGTGCAGAGCCGCCAGCTGCTGGGCTTCAGGTCTGCCTGAACTCAGAAGCTCAAGCAGGAAGTCTGGGTTGAGATCCATGTTGTATATCCTGCCAGCTTGGACATCAAGCAGCCGGTTGCCAGACACACTCACAACCGCTCTGCCCGAACACAGTGCTTCAATATGACCATCCGCCCCTGTGAAGTAGCAAGGTAATGCACAAGAAAAACACACAAAATGTTGAACTGATCATGATTGTGAAAATTAATTAAAAACATTAAATATGTTAAATATAAACTCCAAACAAATGTTAAATGTAGAACTAGTGGTTTAACAAAAAATAAAATTCAAAAAGTAAATTATTATCTAATTTAACTGAAACTAAAGCACAGCTGTTTTTAAAATATTGGTGAAGAGTACAAATATTGAAAAACTTTAATAATACTGCTGTTGTTTAAATAAATCTAAAGAAAAAAATGTAGGCAAAGAAGTGGAGGAAGACAATAAATTCAAATTTTCTGGAGATAATGACAAAAAACAGAACAAATCAGTTAACAAAAACATTAAACTTGTGAGAAATATAAAAAAATAATAATAAAGTTTTGTGTATAAAAACAATACACAAAATAAAACAAATTTCTAGAAAAAATAAAAAAAAACAAATACACAAAACAAACTAAATCAGTAAATAAACAAATAAAACAGACTAAATATTAAATTAAACTAAACAAACTAAACAGAAAAGGGAAAAATCACAAATCTCTGGAAAACATGAAAATAAAACAAAAAGCTAACATAAAAAAAGTCAAGAGAAAAAAAACTTTTCCAAATATCTGGAGCAAATGACAAAACAAAACAACACGATATAACATAAAGATATTAAACTCAAGAAGTACAGAGAGGCAAAAAAACACACACATATCTAAAGACAATAATAAAATAAAATCTTAGGCCTTACCTGACAGGAAAAGACTGTAGCAGAGAAGGTCCTGTTGTCTGCAGTTGATTAAGTGCAGGAACTGATCAGGCATGTACACCACTATATAATAATCTGAAACAAATAAATGAGAAAATTACCTTTCAGCTGAATTTCAATTTGAATGACTTTCCATTTTCTTAATATATGTGAGAAATTTAAACTGGGTTAAATGGATTTGTCTGGGTTGAGTAAGAGATTATGGCTATACTGACCCAGATGAATGAAGATAGGACGGACAGTTGGGAAATTTGCTGGTGCAGAGCCTTGCTCTAGAGATACAGTGAATGTCTTACTGCAGCCTATCAGAGAAAGAGAAAGAGAGAGAGAGTCAGTTTAATCCTTCATATAATATCTGTATCAATATGTGAATCAGGGCATAATGTTTTGTACCTTGGTGCACAAATGCAATAGTATATGTGGCGTCCTTATGCCAGCGCACTGGATGGCTGTAGCACACACACATGGTTCCTATTTAAGACATTCATAAACATTCAGAACAGCAGCTTACATCAGTTTAAATCAAACAAATCAGTCTCCAGACAAAAAAAGAAAGCCAAAACAGTGCAAAAGCAGATCAGCAGAAATCAAGCGATAAACAATACACGGAAAGCATTTTGGTAATTTGGTGTTGGTGATTTCAGGTAATTATTTTGTGATTAAATACCAACTGTTAACTGATTTAAGCATATTTATGATTAGGTTAAAATAAGCAAAAGGCTGAGAAAATATAAACTTACTCTCTAATCCATGACAAGTTAGAAAAGTGGAAAAAACAAAGGTAAATATGGTGTATTTTACTAATATATAGATATATCTGAGTATGATTTAATGTTGAAAAATGCTAAATCACTTGCCTGTTGGGCTGGTGAACACTTCTAACCTGAGACCCTCGTCCTCCAAGTCTTGATAGTGATCATACCCAAAGTTAACAAACCTGTACACGCCACAGACACTTCTTTATTCGCAAAACATTGGCTTTTTTTTACAGTCATATGACTGTTTGCATATATTTAGAGAAGGGGTGTATGATATTTTTAGTCTCCTATAATATTGCAATTATTGTTTTAACAATGTATTGTCAAATTTAACCTAATGCTTAATGGACTTAATGCTTATAAAAAGCTTTATATAGCTAATATAAAAAGTTAAATGAGAAAAAAATATATATTTCTGAATTAGTTTTTTAGCGGGTGTAGTTAATATCATGAGCAATAGAACAGTTTTGATATGACATGAGCACATCAGTGAGATAGGAAATTGTCACATGAATTGATACGACAGCTGAACGAATGAGAAGCTAACCTTACACACTGTATTGTGTGGTTAGTTCTTTTTTCCAAAACAGAAATAGGAGAAAAACAATTGTGTCTCAGAGCAACACTGTGGCATGTCGTTGTTGTTTTTGAACAAAGTATACGATTCAGTGATCAATAAATAAAGACAGAATTAGCTGTTTTGAATGAATCAACTGAATTAATGTTTCAATGAATCACTCATAAAACAGGGGATTTGCAATAAACTTCTAGAAGTTTTAGTATGATAATAATTTATCCATGACAAGCTTAAACCACACACTGTTATTGAAAAAAAAATAAATAAATCACCCAAAATATGAAGGTATACTGTTTGTGCCAATATCACACTCCCATAATTAAGTTGTTTTGCATGTATTTTACTAGAAAACACTCCCTCACCTCACAGGAGAAGTGACAATGTTGGGCATCTCCAATGGAAGCTCAAACTGTCAAACATAAGTGTTTGTATTTCAATTAACAAGTTTTAAATATTATTTAAAAGTATTTAACTGTCATGTGCACAAAAAGTTTACCACAGTTTCGAAATTGCGATCGGCGTAAAACTGTACACACTTCAATGTGTGTTTCTCCTACAGTGTGGAAAAAAACAACACTGACATACACTGGAAGATGAACATTTTCTTCTTAAAAAAAAATATACATTTTTAGCGCAAGTAAAAAGAAAAGTGATTCTGACCCGTGCAGTAAGGTAGAATATTCTTTGAGTGTCTGAGTCCCACTGGACCCATATGAACTCCTCTGCCACTCTCTCTCTGCTCAGACGCTCTGAATTCTGCATCACCTGTTTCAGAAAACACAAATACATGACTCTCCAAAATGCATATGAGTATTCATAGATTTAGACCATGAAAAAGAATTTCTCTTACCACTCTGTACCCTTCCTGTCTGGTCAGAGCTATGTGGTACTGATCAACATCTGCAGAATAAAAATTATCATTCACATACACTTACAATAAATATACAAAGTCAGCATGAAGTTAAAACGAACAGCTTCTATTTCTAAATAAAATAGTACAGTGCTTATTTTTATTTATTTATTAATGCAATTTTTTTATTATGTGCCACTTCCAATCCTTCCTGTAGCAAAATGTTTTGTTGATGATGTTTTTACTAAAGCAAGTGCAGAACATTAGGAAACCACACTTATCCCACCATCCAAACAATTCCAAAAGAAAAAAGACATAAAGTCCCACCCTATATTATTTAATGTTTTACTCAGGTATACAGAACAGTCTGCAACTTATGTTCAATTCTGGATTTGTGTGAGTGACTTCTATAAAACACGATAGACTGCAATTCATAAAGCATATTAATGAAATCTTCAACTTTTCCACAATACATACAGCCATCCTCTGATGCCAACAGCAAATGGCTCTCTAGTACAGTGCTCCGGCATGTCTTGGGATAGAGAAACTAGGAAGGATGTCATGGGTTAATTTCAATTAGATTTACAGTAGACCTTCAAGAAAAAAAATAATCAAAGATTCACATGACCAGCTGTTCAGTACCTGCACTTTGACCTTGCAATCGACTGCCTTTAGGACCTTTGTGTTGTTGATTGGGTGAATCTCGATGAGAAGCGTTAAACATTTTGACACTAAAGTAGAAAGCAAACAGAGTCATATCAGGAGTTAAAGGATAACCGCAATAGCGGGATTCCTATGCACGTTTAACTGCACCTTGATTTCTGTAATTTCATCTTTCTAAATCCCTTAGATTCTGTTTAATGAATGTGAGAAAATGTGTATACATTTGTGAATATGCCACTGTTATAAATACATTCATATATACATTTAAATCCCTTACTCATCATTGTGTGTTGAATACTAGGGTAGGTTTGTCTGCTTTGTCCATTTGTAGACTCAAGCATTGGCATATATTTTTTTACAAATCTATATTGGGTTTACTACCATCATATCTCTATACTTACATTTGTAATAAGCCTGTCCTCAGCTATGGCCTTCGCTCAAAGAATATTTATTTACTGTCTGTCCCTAAAGTGCGAACTGAGATGGTGAAAAAAGGCTTTTAAATACGCAGCACTTTTTGCATGGAATAATCTACAAACAATATGCAGTTTAAAGGATTGATTTCACTAAATGCTGTTAGTTTAAATGATTAAGAAATTGAAACACATGCTTGTAGATGCTTTGAATAGTTTGTTTGTCAATGTGTGATTCTTGTGAACTGTTAATTGCTTTTTTATGTTTGTTATCTGTTAGACCCATGTGACATATATACTGCCTAGTCTTGGCCAGGACGCTCTTGTAAAAGAGATTATTGTGTCTTTTCTGGTAAAATAAAGGTTAAAATAATAATAATAATAATAATAATAATAATAATAATAATAATAAACATACACTTTAAAAAAATAAATAAGGTGTCGTTAAGACACAAAGAAGGCATCCTGATGCCACATTTATTTAATGATTATTATCAATGTTACCAAAGAAACCGATAAGGGAAATGAAACACTGGTATAAAACTGCCTCTTCTTCCTCAAACAGTTTATTATAAAAATACTTCTAAAACAGGAACTTGCAACATTCATGCCACAGAAGCAAATACAATATTGTTAGACTAATATCTGAAATGATGACAGTAGATATGGTGGAGTAAAGTCAAACGTATTTATTAAAACATTTGAATTAACATTAATTAACATAAATTTTAAAAGATGGTGAGGTTTTTTAATGTCTCATAGGAATAATTGTTATTAATAATGATAATTATATATTGCTTCATGTTACTTAATAAAATAAAGGTCAAATGCACAGCTTGACACTTTAGAAATAAGAAAGGTTTTTTTTAAATGTTTCAAAATTAATAATGGATAAAAAACAATTGAGGGACTCAATGAAAAGTGATAAAATAAAGTGTTTTTCTTTATTGAATACATTGAAACATTAACAGCCAAAAACAAAACTAATTAAATAGATTTAATATAAAACAAAATGATTTTTTTTTATTTGAATAAACATAATCACAGAATTATTTATAGGCTTACTTTAAATGTATAGCATACATCTGCATAACCTATGTCAGTTGCTAAAATATATTTAGTATGCATAACTTTGAATCCTGTTTTTTCATTCCCAAAAGAAATACTTTATGAAATTTTTATTATACTTATTTGTATGACCTAAAATTCCACCAGTGGCTGAGTGGTTAACACCGTCGCCTCACAGCAAAAACGTTGCTGGTTCGAGCCCGGGCTGGGCCAGTTGGCATTTCTATGTGGAGTTTGCATGTTTTCCCCATGTGTACGATTTCCCCCACATTCCAAAGACATTCGCTATAAATTGGTAAGCTAAATTGTCCGTAGTGTGTGTGTATGTCCTGGTTCTCCAGGTTGCGGGTTGAGTGTTAGTCTAATGACCCACCTCATAAAAAAACTAGATGTTACGAAACACTAATATGGTGCAGCTAAATGTCAACTTCGATATAAAAAATGGCCCCGGGAGAAAGTAAAATTCTTCAAATTCAATTTTCTTTTTGGGGAAAAAATTATTAAAAAAATAATAAAAATAAATAAAACACAGGTATTGTATTTTGTGACTGAAATACATCAGGATTTTATTTACCTGGTTTAAAGCGGCCTTCTTGTGTGCATTGAGACAGACTGACCGCTAGGACAGAAAAACTTAACATTAGTAATCACCATCACAAATCCAAAATATTATATTAAACCCAAAATATTAACATAATAAAAAAAGAAACTCTAATATCTAATATAATATAATGATCTGTGTTCCTACCCAAAACTGATTTATAGTGGCTTTAAGTCTTACCCAGTAGTGTTTCTTCTTTATTTAAAGAGCAGCTGCTGACACACACTTGCTTGTCAAATGTGTAGAGGAGCTGTGAACACAAGAGGGCACATGGTTTGTTAACAGTATCTTCTTTAGTTCAGTTCACTTCACACAATTTAATGCACCATTTCAAGTATTCATTTGACACCATAGATCTATTTTTAGTTTATAATCATTTATAGCTGTAATAGTATATCTGTACCTTATTCTCTGTACTGTGAGGATCATATTTCCCAATTCTTGTAGTTCCTGTTGCCCCCTAAACAAGGATTGGGAAATCAGTTAGTTTACAAAAAAGAAATGAACACAATTCAGTTTGCATCCATCATGACACCTGGATTGATGCTAAGTGACCTAATTAATAGAAACACAAGCAAGCTTGTTGTGTAGAACGGCATACTGGACATGCCAATAATCTCTTAAGGGAAAAAAAGAAGTAAAAAGTGAAATTTCCAACATTTTCAAATCTTCTTCAAGTTTGCAATTCCATCGGATCCCAGAGTTTGAATTATGTCTGAATTAAGAACACCTCTAAATAAACATAATGATGATCTACTATGATTTTTGGTAAAGCTATTCCATACAGAAATGTGGTATATGACCATATTCATGCAATTACAATTTTTTTATCTGGATCTAACACAGTATTTTTAGTTGAACCTTACTTAGTTGATGTGTATTTTATATTTTCATGTTATGCTGTTGTGTTCAGATTTTAAACTATCTTTAATAATAATAATAATAGTAATAATAATATACATGACATATGTAAAATAAAATAAATACAGTTGAAGTAGGAATTATTAGCGCTCCTGAATTTTTTTTTTTACCATAATAGTTTTGATAACTTATATCTAATTACTAATTTATTTGATCTTAACAATGATCACAGTACATAATATTTTACTCAATATTTTTAAGATACTAGTGTTCAGCTTAAAGTAGGCTTAACTATAGGTTTAGTGGGTTAATTAGACAAATTAGGGTAGGTAAATTATTAAATGGTGGATTGTTCTCTAGACAATGAAAAATATATATTTATAATATTGATCCTAAAATGGGTTTAAAAAACTGCTTTAATTCTTGCCAAAATAAAACAAATAAGAAAAATTGTTATCGGAAAAACAGTTTTTAATTCCTTGCTCGGTTTAAACATAATTTGGGACACATTTTAGAAAAGGAGAAAAAAAAAATCACAGGAGAGCTTATAATTTTGACTTCAACTGTATGTCAGATTTCTATATGGATCATAAACCAAAATGCATTTGCATACTGTTGGCATGTATTCAGTATTGTCTGGCTTTAATTGGAATAGTTACACATATAGTATGTGTGAATATAATCCTTAATAAATCCTATTTTCAAGTCAGACTTTTCATATTAATTAAGCTATATACTATTAACTCATATTACTGCCCTCTTTGTTTTTTAGTAAGAAATTATTATTTGTTGTTAAAATGAATGATTATTATTGTAAAAATGCAATTCAATTTATCTCATATATACAGTAAAATCCATTTACTTGAGCATGAGAGTTGTACCCTTTTTCACCAGGGTCCACACATTAATTTCTGGACTGAATGTAAGCCATGTACAAGTGTGTATTGTATGTATGGCACGCAGAGCTCGTTTGCTGTACTGTCGGCGGATTGTTCCTGCGATAGTCATTTGCGCTGCTATGAACGGCACGTCGAGCACATGACCTGTCAAATTAAAGAGACACACAAACTAAAGTCAAACTTACTCTCCATGAGTACACGACTCCTCCATCTCTCTCCACACTCAGAATTCGAGGCTCAAGAACACCTGCACACATTAAACACAGTGCATAACTCGTGCATGCTCATATATAGACTACAGTACAATCAAAACGATAGTGAAATTATATAATTATTATTAGTAGTTCATATGACAGTTAAAACGATGATTAATATAGCCTAAATTACACTATAAGTCTGCTTACCTATATTCGCCCTTTCCTCCTTGGCCAAAATGCTTGACACAACATCTCTTTGAATGTCGAAGGTGGGGTTTAATCTCAACATGTGTCTTGTCCTGCAGAGATTTAGCAGAAGTGGCCTGATTTCACGCGTTCAGGACAGAGAACTCCACGCAAACTTTATGACTGAACACACTGACTTCTATAGCGTAACATATTAAATGTATTCCTACAGTTTATCGACGAGCCGAACACCGTCAGTACGCTGAACACCATCAGACATCTATTAGTGAATAACTCCCTTTGCTGAAACCGGCGTTTTAAAACGATTCGGACGTACTGAAGCGAACTTTAGGAGCTTGTAATGACAAGAGTGATAGACCCGGTAAACTAAAAAGCATCACGATCAATAATATTCTACCCGCAACAAACCGAAAGTCACTGAATTCACCAATCCCGACATCACTTGCGGTGTTTACAGATTTGTCATAAGAACACGTAGGCGGATCCCAAACACTGCTGAGCCATTCAGAGATCACAGTCATGGGGTTACAGAACAAGGTGTTATAATCATGTCCGCACACAAGAACGTGTATTTGTGTATCTATTTATAGCGTTGCTTTGAAGCTGGGATGAAGTAAACTCTAAAAAAACAATAATTAAAATCATTTACACCCTTCTGATCATCATATGCAAACAAGAGATCACCATGCAGCCTAAAATACAGAATCATGGTTTCCCCTTTTGTGTCTTGAATTATTTTATTCTGTGAAAAAGGGAGGGAAATCTAGGTAAAAGTATCATTTAAAATATTTTTGTTAAGACATACATCTATTAAAGGTTCTTTTAGGTTACATTATTGTTTTAACTCGTTATAGTAGCCTACTTTATTTAATAAATACAAATATAAAACAAATGCAAATACAATGTAAAACAAATGTAAATACAAAATGTTAACAAATATAAAACAAATAAAAATACAATGTAAAATTATACAATGTAAACAAACCAAATAGATCAAGTGATTATTTAAATTAATTTGTATTTATTTGATTTTTTTAGTTTGAAGTTTTTAGGGGTCATTAATTCACGTGAATCATATATATATATATATATATATATATATATATATATATATATATATATATATATATATCATCATATATAATTATATATCATTTTATTCATATTTACCTGGGAAAGAGATCTTTGCTATATTGTAGGTATAATAATTACCACTAGAGAGGGCTCTTGTCGAGCCATCCATTTTTACAAAGTAGGTCCTCTATCAGCTACAACTAGGGAAAAAATAAGTCTTTCTATATTTGTAACATTTATTTCTTGCTTTTACATTGTTACATCATGTCAACAGATAACAAAACAACAGAAGGGAATATATTAAGTGAACCCCCCAGCACCAATTTTTTACACAGAAGCTACAGCATGTTTGCTCTCATTTTTAGCCTTGCTATCGGGCCAGTAATTTGTAGTCATGCAGAACAGCAAATGTCCAATCACTAAATATCCTCAGCAACTAAGACAGCATGTAAGTGCATCAACCGTTACCTTTATTTTTATTATGATCATCATTATTATTATTACTTAACTAATCTTTAACAAGACATCAACTCAGTAGTTTGTTTTCTCCAATGCTTTGAGTGATAAACACCATTATTTAATTGTTATTTGGTTACAGCTTTGTCCGTTTAAAATGTAATATGCTAAAAAAGTTAATTAACCTATTAAAACCCTGTAAAACATATGTAAAAGAGAGCACATTTTAACCATTATTGATCTGCCTTTTCAAACCACTGACTGAAGCTACATCTCGCATGCGTTACAACAGAACTACAAAAATGGTTGCATAGGTGAACAACGCTCACAAAATGGATTCATTATGGATGAAATGCACAGGAACAGGCTGCTTCTCTGGCACTGACACAAACAGAAACCATCAATCCCTTCTTCAAGTTTCTTCTAGGTAGGTTGCAAACATACATACAACAAAATAACTCCACACTAAAAACACAAAACATCCATCATGGAAAATATTCAGCATCAGGTAGTAAACTATATCATATAGTATGTCTAACATTGTACATGTTTGATTTGGGTTTATACAGATTCTCAACTTCTTGGGGGAAAGAAGCTAAAAAAGGTGACTGGGGGAAATCAACTTTATTGCAGGTTTGTCACTTCAGAGGTTTTCTGAACATAAGGCTTCAGTGATGTATCTGCTTCCCTTTTTTATTGTATACATCTGTGACCCTGTTTAATCCAGTGTTGTAGAGCGTAACCGTTGTTTCCTTTTAGCTGAGCAGCAGGAGAAGAGAGTCTCCATCCTTATGTTTGGCCATATAATTATTATGCTTTTTTTTTTCTTTTTATCGTCACCATGGACTCCTCTGAGAACAGGTCTACTGTGTAGCACAAAGCGGCAGTGCATAAGCTTTTCATCTGCAGAAATCTGCATTTGAATTGTCATTTACATTCTAATCCTCCTCTTCCAGACCATCTGTGCCAGTTTCACGCCTTGCCCGCCTTCATGTAAGTAGGGATGGTGCCACGCTGTGTCAAGCCCTCGAAGCGTTTGTAGGTGTAGTTGAGGAAAACCCAGTCCTTGGACTTGAAGTCTGATTCTGTTACATTTGCTACTGAAATGATGCGAGATGAAGAGAATAGTCAGAAAAGCAGACAGAGCCATGAAATGCCAATTAGACATACAGTGGTCAGCATAATTGAGTACTCCCCATTTTAAAGATGAATATTTGTATCTATTTCTCAGTGAATATAGACAATGTATTGGTGCATTTAAACAAAGCAGATTTATTAAATGGATATATTTATTAAAATAATATTTTAGTATTCTTAAGAAATAGAAAGATAATATATTTTAATTCATGCTAAATATTGGAGAAAAATGCAAACTACAAAATGTCAACATTTTTAAACATTTTTTTGTTTCTCTTGAATTTTGCTCCTTTTAAATTTTGTATTTAATATTTTTCTCTGACATATGAATTTGGGGGCACTAATTTTGGACCATTATCTTTTTATTAACTTATTTTGTTAGATTAGCTTCAGATTTGGCTTCAGTACTGACTAAACTAATGTTTTTGCACAAATAATATTGTATAGCTTTCTATAAAAATATGAAGTTAGATGAGAGATTTGTGAGGGGTGTACTCATATATGCTGAGCTGCACTGTATATACATACAGTAGATATGGGTGGAATACATGGGTTTATGCATGTATGAATATCTGCAAATGATCTGTTACATTAATTGTACACATCACAAATCCTATGTAAAGGCAATAGACATAATTGATTCCTTAAGGACTAAAGGTGAGGATGCATTTTAGTCTGCATATTTATTATAACACTGTCTACTTGTGTATAGATCTAATCACCTCATGTTGCTAAATCATGTTGGAAATATATCTAAAATTATTTTAGTTCAACTAAAAACGAAAATAAAAACTCAAATGAAAGCAGAATTAAAATAAATAAAAATTATACTGTATATAAGAATTGTAAGCTTTACTGTAACACTCTAATATAACATTTTTATAAATTTTAATATTCCTTTAATTAATCATAAATCTAAACTAATTAAAATTAAACCTATAAAAACACATATAATTTTCTAGCTAAATGGTACCAATATAGTTCATTTTATAATGTTTATTCATTTAAACATTATATTCAGAATTTATTCAGTAAAATTTGATATTAAAAATGAGTTTAAAATATTATTTAGGAAACTATTTGATTTCCATTAAGTTACATTATTATTTTTTAAGTTTCATTATTAATAAGTTCATCATAGTACTTTATTTTTTGGACTTTTAGTTTATATTATTTTTCTTTTATCATTGATATTGATACAATTCATTTTTATTGGTTTTATTATTGAATTTTTTAATTCAATTTACTCAAACTTTGGATCATTTAAAAAAAAAAAAATCTACTTATTTTTACATTTTTTAAATGCCTTTTTACCCAACATTTCTAGCATTCCCTTGTGGCCCCCGGGGGTCCTTGCAGCACAGTTTTAAAACCCCTGACTTAAATGGCTTAGGCAAACCTGACCATCTGGAAAACCTAATTAGTCTGTTCACACAAAGCGCAATAATATTAACTATAAACACAAGTTGTAATTGTTAGTTCTTACTGCAATAACAATGACTATACAGAAGTAGACAACATAACTGCATAGTGAACTAAATTAAATGGAGTGATATTGTGTGCAAATTCTAGTTGGTTATAAAAACAATTTGCAGTATACCTGGCTGCAGAATGTCTGACTCTGGAAAGTCATCAAAGTTGGACGTATCGTCAATGCTCTTGATGTCTATGGAAATAGCAGCAGGTCTCTCTCTGTGAGAAGGGAAACAGTTCAGTTCCAATTATCAACTTCAAACACTGCTTCTCTATGATCACACAATCAAAAAGCTTGATTACATTAATCCCGCCAACATAAACATTCAGAGTCATTTTGCAGCTCTAGACAACACTGTGATGACGTAAAAAAAACAAAGGAAAAATGTGTGCACATAAATACCTGATATGCTCCCAGTCTACAGACTCAAAAAAGGGATGAGATTTGATTTCATCCACACTTCCTGATCCAATCCGGTTTTCTGCATCTGTGCAATACCTGAAAACATCACCATACAGTTTGGTTAGATTTGATTTCAAATGTTTTTGAAATCAGTGATACTCTATACTTGAGGGAACAATCATTTTAATGAGGCATTGTTTGGTTTTTAAGATACAATGACATCATTCTTCAATATGGTTTTTGTTACAGATATAGAAGAATCTCTGACCTAAGGATCAATTCCTTGGCTCTCTCTGAAATGGGGACTTCAGGAGGGAAAGTTAGTGTTTCTCGCCAGTTCATGACCTTCCTGTAGGTTTCCTGTGGCGTCTCGGAACAGAAAGGTGGGTAGCCTGAAACAGGAAGACCAAACAAACACCTGTTTTAGTGCAGGAAAGGGCTACAGTAAAAGGCTTTTACAGAAAGAGTCTGGCCTGATATGAACCCGTCCACTTAGTGTTTCGTATCTCAAATTACTAACCTATCAACATTTCATACATTATGACTCCAAGAGACCACCAGTCACACAGCTTATTGTAGCCTGTCTGCATAAAGACCTCAGGGGCGATATAGTCTGGCGTACCGACTGTTGAATATGCCTGAATATGAGAGAAATTAAGTCACTAGTAATACCTAAAATTTTCTGTTCTGTTAAAAATAAGGGAAAAATTTCCTACCAGCTGCCTTCGGTTCTTCTTCCATGTTTCTGCTTTCCGCTTTGAATTCATGTTTTGAAAGGCTAACAGAAGATAAAACAGAGCAAATATGGTTAATTTGGGCCATTTTTATTATTTATCATTTAAAGTATTCCTACAAGTCCACTTATAATATTAAATAAAAACTGAAATGATCCGTGACAGGTGTTGACAATAACTTCTTGTGATTCTTCGTGAGGATATACAT